CACATCAAAAGTCCAAGGAATTATTAAGCTTTAGCTTTATTTACAATAATTTACGCATGATAAAAGTTTAAAATATAAATTTTACGGAAGTTATTCGAGATTAAAATTCAGTTCTAAGTGTTGCTGGTATAAACAAACCTATTTTGCCCAAGGCTTGCCTGATTTTCAACGTGCTTTAGCCTGATATGTTCTACCTTTGATGCTCCTTCCTTTGGCGAGCAAACGACTCAAGTCTGTCAATTTTAATCAATGCTAGCTAGCGATCGGCACAGATCAGTCGTCGCGCTTCAAACAAGAATACTATTTTTTCCCGTGTGATTTTGTCGGAATAATTTTTATCGCTGTAAATCTAGATCTTTATCAAACATTTCGAAAATAGATTCGCAAAACCTGAGAGGTATTCACGCACGCTCATGTTGACACACCGATCTGAAGAATTCTTTGCTGTTTAAAGCGTCTCGACGGAAGAACAGCAACACGCAAAATGTTTTAGTAGCAATAAACCGACAGTTCCATACACACAGCTTTTGACCGAAAGCAGTGGTGTATTGCACTGCCATTTAAACCTTTTCATTCAATAAAAATGATAAACAGCACTCTTTCATAAAATATACTCAAATAAATTTAAACCTAACGTGGTCGCTTTCACCGCTTGACTTGACATCTGTTGTGCGGAGGAAGGAAAATGAGTTAGTGGGTTTTCGAATTTTATTTGTTTAGAAAACTGAACAGGGAGGTTTAAATCAACCGAAGAAGCGAATACAAACTCCAACCGGCCATAGACTGTCAAAAAAACGACAATAAAGCCGCACCTTTTGATGAGAAAAACTGCTTTGAAGTTCGGAAGTTCACGACGACTTGAAACTGGTCCATCTCAAGTCGTCGACGATAAGACGACGACGGAATTCTTGGTTCGCGCTTGCGCAGTGACGTTCTCGCTACTTCCGGTCGTCGTCCTCCGTTCGTCGTCGTGGTTGCTTAAGCTCCCCAATAAGGTGAATGGACGACCTTCAAGATAATTCTGAAACTTTTTCACACCCCACACAATCGAGAGGGCTTCTTTTGTTAGCTGAGGGTATACTTTCTATGCGTCATTCAGTGTGCGTGAAGCAAATGCTATCGGTCTCCCACTACCATCTGGCATAACATGGGACAAAACACATCCAAGACCATAAGCTGATTCGTCGGTTGCTAAGCGTAATTCTTTGTCAGGGCCATAATGTGTGAGAACGGTGTCAGATGCAACCATTGATTTCACTTTTGTAAACGCTGCTTCTTGTTCCTTTTTCCTGTGCCAGGGAGTGTCCTGTTTCAATAGGGAATGAAGTGGTTGCAGCTGTTTCAAGGTTTAGCAGAAATTTATGATAGTAACTCACAAATCCAAGCCATGATCTCAGCTGATTTACATTCTGTGGGTTGGGGGCATTCACTACTGCTTCAATTTTCTTCTGTGGTTTACAAAGACCATCTTTGTTGATCACATGTCCACAGTATTCAATTTCATTCTTCATGAATTCACATTTGGTTTTATTCAGCTTCAGTCCGGCCTGCACCTTCTAGACGGGTCATAACTTTGTCAAGATTTTGACGATGCTCCTGATCATTTCTTCCAGTGACAATTATGTCATAAATATAGCATTGAGTGCCAGGAATACCTTGGATAACTTGATCCATTGCCTTTTGCCATAGAGCAGGTGCTAATGCTATTCCATAGACTACCCATTTGTACTGGTAAAGTCCTTGGTGAGTATTCACTGTGACAAGTGGACGACATTTTTCTGCAACTTCCATTTGTAGGTAGGCGTGACTTAGGTCTAGCTTTGAGAACTTTTCGCCACCAGCAATATTAGTGAATATTTCATCAATACGAGGTAAAGGATACTTGTCGACTTCTAAATCAGGATTAACAGTTACTTTAAAGTCTCCACATATCCTTACTCCTCCATCAGGTTTGTCAACAGCGACAATAGGTGCAGCCTATTCGCAGTACTGCACTTTTTCGATGATTCCTTGAGATTCTAGCAGGTTAAGCTTTTCATTTATCTTTGATTTCTTTGCAAAGGAGACAGGCCTAGCCTTGTGAAAGACTGGCGTTGCTCTGGCCTTAAGGTTGAGTTTAGCCTGAATTCCATTTAACTTTCCAAGTTGACCAATGAAGAGACTGTCATGACGCTGAAGTACTTGATTAATGTTGATTGGTCTAGACATTTTGTGAATTTGTTGCCAGTTGAGTTGGATGGCTTTCAACCATTCACGTCTAAATAAGGGTGGTGAATTAGTTTTGATGACATACAGGGGTAGTGTAAGTGACTGACTTCCATATTTGACTTCTACGTTCACATATCCAAGAGGCTTGATTTCCTCTTTTGTGTAGGTCACAAAGGTGAGAGGTGATTGCTTTAATGGCAGATTTGAGAATTTATCCTTGTACAGGTTTTCGCCTATGATAGCCTTTCCAGAGCCAGTGTCAATTTCCATACAAAGTGGTTGGTTTTCAATTTCAATTTCTATCGTGATGGGATTTTCTGATCCACCTTGGATGTTGTAGAGTAGTCATCAAATTCTTCATTTGTGTTTTCTTCAGAGTCTGAGAGCTTTTCCTCGACTGCATGAACTTCAGATTTCTTTGAAGACTTACAAACAGGTGCAATGTGTCCTTGTTTGTTCCATTTATGGCATATAGCACGCTTGAATTTGCATTTTTCTGCAGAATGGTTTCTTTTTCCACAGTGTTTACATTTTGCTTCTCCATGAGGGTTGTCTTCTTTATCTTTTTTCGGTTTTGGCGGCTTTGAAGGTGTGGCTTTCATTCGATGAACTTCGTTGGTTGAAACCAGGCCTCTAGCTTTCGCGATCTCTGCGACGTCTTTGTTCGCTGCTTTGTCGGCGATCGCTACTTTAATGGCTTTTTCTAGGGTTAAACCACTTTCCACCAACATCTTCTTTTGGGTATTTCGATCTTTGATTCCACACACCAGACGGTCACGAATCATATCATTCAGCTTGTCTCCGAAATTACATTACCTTGCCAACTTTTTCAGACGAGACACGAATTGAGCAGTAGTTTCTGACTCTCGCATGGCGGTGTAGAACCTAAATCTTTCGGCTATTTCAACC